AATACAAAAAAATATATAAAGTACCACTCACTGACTGTACATCTACAAGTGATACTTTTGGAGTCAACCCAAACTACAGTTGATTGACCTTAGCCTGCACAAAATGGCTGCAACTTAGTGACATTTTATATATATTAAGCTAAAAAATAATGTTGTCTTAACTGAATTATCTCTAATGTATACTCTGAGCTCTAACAGTTTATGTGAGATAACATAAGATATTGCATTATTGTGATACACATTAATTTTTTTGTTTTAATGAATTGGCTCAATCATTTCTCAACACTATTATTTTCATCTAAAGCTGTGGCATCAAAGGTGACAGGAGAGATGCATTCCTTCAAGGAACGTAAGGCTTTTATAAAATTGAAATAATGATAAAAATCATTTAAATATTCTCACCAGTTGTTAAACGTATTTCACTGTTGCTCTTTTATACAAAAGAGCTGTATTACTAACACATTAAGTTTTATACATTTAAAAAAAAAATCATACATTTGTTTCTATCATTAGACATTTAAAGTTACTCTTTTTGTTACATTTACAAAAACAGAACAGACAAAAACTGCCTTTTTTAAGCTGAAGGACATTGCTTATGTAAAGCAAGTGGACCACCTACTTAAATGATCAACTTTCACCTTACATGTAAATATCATTTTTTAACCTTGTGCAAAAAAAATATAAAATAAAAAAAAATTAGCTGACTGTGTTACATTAAACAACTGTATCCTTAAAGGCAACAAATCAAAATGCACAAATTTAGTTAGCTTTATAAAACACTGTATGCACCTCTGCTGGTGTTCTTAGTTTTTTGTTGTTTTTGATTTAGCTTAATTATGCAAATGTGTTTTGTACTTCAGTTTTTTGTTTGTTTGTTTTGTTTTTTTTACATTTCAGTACATTGGCTATCTCAAAGTATCCAGTCATTTTAATTAAACCATGTGGATAATTAAACACACATGCTTGTTAGTTAGTCCTATGATTTTGCTCAGTATATTTTTAATTTCATACGAAGACACAAACCCCGGAACCATTATTCTAACCTATCCGGAAGGTTTATGACGTTACTCCATCTTTGCTAGCGTAACTATTTTTTGTTGTATTCGCTTCTTTGTAGTTATAAATATTAAGATAAAGTATATTTTTCTTTCTAAATTTTTACGACATGGCAGGGAACTTCTGGCAAAGTTCACATTAGTAAGTAAAAAAGCTTTAACATGTTACGTATTTTATGTTTAATTGTTCGCTTTTGTTGTTTTGAGGCCTTCCCGGGTGTGTGTCTGAGCGCGCTAACAGTTCGTATTTATCACAGTTATTGTTTAAAATAGATTTATATATGAAGATAATAGAAAACTAATTCAGTGTAAGACGATTTATTTAAAAATATATGTTTTTTCGTTTGTATTTATTGCAACATGTGCTTCTTCTGCAAGCTTGGTTGTTCGCAGTTTGACAGACCAGACGTCTAATTACATCTACCTGTTTTAATATTATTTATAAAAGTCTGCAGTGGGTTCTGGATAAACAAGACCTAATGAAAGAGCGTCAGAAGGACATGAAGTTCCTTACTGAAGAGGAGTATTGGAAGCTGCAGATTTTTTTTGCCAATGGTAACTTACTTTTTAAAATTATACTAACAACACGTTTTGTACTGACTGTTCTGTAGATGTTATTTGATCTATTCTGGGGGGGGTTTTTTGTTGGTTTTTTTCAGATAGTCAAAACTCATTTATTTGTAGTAGTAGATGAAGCTGATGTATTTTTCTTGAAGATATTTAGTATTTTATTTCAGTGATTCAAGCTCTGGGTGAGCACCTGAAGCTGAGACAGCAGGTCATTGCTACTGCTACAGTTTACTTTAAACGCTTCTACGCCAGGTAAGGAACCAATTCACTTTACTGCTCATTAGTGATTGGTTTTTTCCCCAACTCCTTTCTGTGTGTATTTTTAACTTCTCACCATGCTGAACTAACTGAAGCGTTACACATTTAAAAGAAGGCATGTACATCTTTATTTTCCTTTGCCACATTTGACGCAGCTGTGAAAATGAGGAACGTGTACTTTTCATTTAGCATCTGTTTGTACACTACCTGGCCACAAAAAAAAAAGGTTGCCACCTGGATTTAACTAAGCAAATAGGTAGGAGCCTCCTATTGGATAATTACTACATGGGTGGTCATCTTTCAGCTGGCAACAAGTTATTTAACCCCAACTGGTGCAATGAGTTGCTTCTCATTTCTTAAACAACCATGTCGAAAGACACATCGCGTGGTCGTGGAAAAGATGTCGGTCTGTTTGAGAATGGTCAAATCATTGACATGCATCAAGCAGAGAAAACATGTAAGGAGATTGCAGAAACTACTAAAATTGAGTTAAGAACTGTCCAACGCATTATTAAAAACTGGAAGGATAGTGGTGACCCATCGTCTTCGAGGAAGAAATGTGGCCGCAAAAAAATCCTGAATGATCGTGATCGGCGATCACTTAAACGTTTGGTGAAATCACATCAAAGAAAAACAACAGTAGCACTCAGGGCTATGTTTAATAGTAAAAGTTGGAGCATTTCCACATGAACAATGTGAAGAGAACTCAAGGAATTGGGACTGAACAGCTGTGTAGCCTTAAGAAAACCACTAATCAGTGAGGCTAACTGAAAAAAAAGGCTTAAATTTGCTAGGGAGCATAAAGATTGGACTCTGGAGCAATGGAAGAAGGCCATGTGGTCTGATGAGTCCAGATTTACCCTGTTCCAGACTGATGGGTGCATCAGGGTAAGAAGAGAGGCAGGTGAAGTGATGCACCCATCATGCCTACTACCTAGTCATCAATGCAAGATCTTGGTGAAAAATTAATACATCACTTGATGGAAATAGATCTTGTGGCACTGCAGAAGCTTATAGAAACAATGCCACAGTGAATGCATGATGTAATCAAAGCTAAAGGCGGTCCAACAAAATATTAGCGTGTGACCCCTGTTTTTGGTGGCAACTTTTTTTTTGGCCTGGCAGTGTATTTTAAATAAGATATGGCGATGCTCAAGCTGCTGCCCCCGCAATCCGACTTCAGAACAAGCGGAAGATAATGGATGGATGGATGGATGGAGATGAATTTTATATATAAAATACTCGTTTGTAACCACATTTGTACCTTTTGACACTGACACAGATATAACCTGTTATCAAGCATTATCCAAATTAAATCCTATTCGTTATAACATTGGATCCTCTTGCATATTTTTCATGTTAGAATTTTTAATTATTTGTTGTTCTTAATCACTTCTCCTAGCTGTATTCTTGACCAAATTATATCCAAAAAATGTAAAGTGTTATACAATGAGACTCATGACACACAGTTCATTTTTCTACCCACAAATGTCTGGGTACAAAGTAACCAAAACTCCAAAAAGTACAAAGTGGTGAAGTGACCAGCACCTATGCATTTTGTCAACATGCACTAATAGCTGTTTCAATGTCTTTACTACAGTGACATTTGATTTTTAAAAAATTGTTTTGTTTCCTTTATTGAGCAACACGTTTTTTTAATTGCTGTTCACAGCGTTGTTTTCAAAATTTTGTTTCTTACATTATTTTTAAAATAAAAACACAAGATTGTGTAGTTTGCATAAAGTTTTAAACGCGTGGCACTCTTGATTTTTTTGTCAGAAGTCTGGATACCCAATTGTGCTGTGATTTGTACAGCTAGTGGATAAACACTAGAATGCATCGCATTAGTGTAAAGCACAAGTTTCAAACCAAGAGCACAATTTAAAATAGGGTTCTTTGTTACATTCTAAATAAAATATTTGGTTGCATGTTCTCTGGGACTTGGCATTTAAAAATAAAGAAATAAAAATGATGTCTGTCAACCATGACATCTCTACTACCTTTAGTCCAAACACTTGTACATTATAGCTACATGGTTCCTCAGTTTATTACACAAAACTAGTGAGGTGTCCTGAAAATATTTTTAGTGAAATTCTTCAGATTGATGTGCAGGTAAATCATGAACAGTGTTGAACAGGGAAGAAAACAAACTCTGGAAATGGTTTCAGTTTGAGGATGTGAGAAACTCTACCTGTTGTATGTTTAAAACAAAACAATCATACCTGGGAGGATTGTATTATTATTATTTTACATTTGATACTTGCAGTGTGTTTTATCCCTGAATCTTTTTACAGCTGAAACATTTGAGCAAACTTTGATGTTTTCTTGCTTGCAGGTATTCTCTGAAAAGTATAGACCCAGTGCTCATGGCTCCTACCTGTGTGTTCCTGGCTTCTAAAGTTGAGGCAAGAGAGAATTTTCTGCTCTCGTGTTTCATTATTTAAACTTTTTGTTAATAATGAACACAATTTTATTTTATATTTTGCCTCTAATATCTCTAGACTCTGCTATTTTCCATGTGTATGTTATATTTTGTTTTGTGTTTGAGGTTATGTAATCTTAATTATTTAATTTTCTTCAGGAATTCGGAGTCGTGTCAAACACCAGACTGATCTCTGCAGCAACTTCTGTTTGTAAGTGACCCCATTAAGAAACATAAACACTGAAATGAAAAAGAATTAGACAGATTTCACTAATCATCCATTGATGGATGTGAATATTAGACTTCCCCCTCAGTGAAACTTGTATATTCATTTTTTTGTTTTTTTCTGCAGTGAAAACAAGATTTTCTCACGCCTTTTCAAAGGAGTTCCCTTACAGAATGAATCATGTAAGTAAAGGTTTTTTTATTAGTCTTTTTTTTACAGGTACATAAAGAGCACTTATTGATGGATAACCTAAATTATGTGTAACTGCTTTTAGTGTATAAAGGCAGAAAACTCATGAGTGTTGTTTACACTTATAATAAATGACAAAAATATGTTTGAAAATGTGAGTTTTAAACCGGTTTCAGACGTCAGCATAATATTCAATTAGGAAATAACAAAAACCACAATGTTACTTTAGTAGCTACAAGCCAGATGTTGACAAAAGCTGCTTCCTTTATGTTATTTATGCACCGCTGAGTTACATTACGGCTTACCAAGGATTTTTTTTTTACACTGTTGCACAGTGTTGCCACATTAGTCTATAAGTATGTGACATTCCTCAGCTAATGTTCACACACTGGTGAGGAAAAAACCTGTTGGTGTAAGAGTCCTCAGCCTTCATACGCAGCGTCACCACCGAGCTGCCAGAACTTTATCAGCACTGTTTCGACGCTGTTAACGCCAGCGGGCCACCGTGGAGCGACAAAAGGAGGGAGTGGTTCACACAGCAGAGATTGAGTTTGCAAAGAGCTGCGACATAAACATAATTTCTCTTGTCTACATTGCAGACATAGTAAAAGAGATTGATGACTTTAGTTTCGTAGTCCAAGTGTCTTGAGGTCGATTTCCCAGAAAGACAAGAGATGTTAACAACGTAAAATGATTTTTAAGGCTCTCTGAAATTCATGTTATTTTTTCCTCCAAATTTAAATTTCCTGTATAAGATTTCAGAAATTTTACTTTCAAGATGGAACAACGGTTATTTAACTTATTAAACGAGCACAGAAAATCAGAGTCAGAGTCAGAGTCAGTTTCTTTATTGTCATTCGCACCTCATGTGGTACATGTGGTGGAGCGAAATTATGTACACAGGGTCCCAGTTACATCCAACAATAAAATGTCTAAGAAAAACAGTGATAACATCTAAGATATGAACTAAGAAAAACATCAACTAAATATACACTAAGCACTCATAACATAAAACATTGAACATCACCACAAACATGAACATGAGTCTGTGAGCAGATGTGCACGCATGAACACATCAACATTGAAACAGATCAGCAGCAACATGAAACAGATCAGCAGTAACATGATATGGTTTTTCACAGTGATTATTCTAGTTAGAGATTCATGAGTCTAACAGCCTCAGGGTAGAAGCTGTTCCTCAGTCTAGTGGTTCTACACTTAATGCTCCTTAACCTCCTTCCTGAGGGGAGTGGGGCAAAAAGTGTGTGTGCTGGGTGGGTGGGGTCCTTCATGATGCAGGTGGCCCTCTTCCTGCATCTGGAGGTGTAGATGTCTGTGATGGTGGGGAGACTGACTCCAACAGATTTCTGTGCAGCCTTCACCACTCTCTGCAAAGCTTTTCTTTCTGCAGCTGTGCAGCCTCCTATTTTCACCTGCCAAAATATTTGGCAGGTGAAAATATTTTTTTGAAGCAAAGTAAATATATTTTATTTTAGCTGCTGTTCAGTGCGTGTTGGGTCATTTTTATCAGAGATGGTTCATATCTTTTAAGTGAGGTTCTGTAGAAGAGTTTAGTTACTATCTTACCTTCTAAACTCCCCAAATTGAAAATAAATAGTTTAAATCTGTCTGGGGAAAAAGCTAGCAGCTAGTTTGAGCAGGGCTACGACCAAAGTGGACTGCTGCTGTCTTAAAAGACGCTGATCATGTCTACGCTGTTTTATAAACCTTTACGTAGCTGTCAGTTTCACATTTCACAGTTGTTCTCCCAGAAACTGTATATTTTTTCCCAGAATGGCTACAGCTAGCCGCTGCTGCTATTTGCACTTGCAAAGAACAACGTAATCCTTTATAAATAACCGTGTAAAAGGAAATAAACAATAAAAAAAAGTGTCAATTACGATAAACTTTTTGATGTTAGAGTTGCTTTAGTGCAACAGTTTACTTCAGTCTTGGCCCTCAACAGACTGTTAGCTCATCAGTCTGATCAAAATCAAGTCGTATTTCTCCTATTTCTGAATGCTGAATCAGTGTTCACACCACAGAATATATACAGCCTAAAAACACAGCTTTTGAAAATGAATGTGATCTGAATTATATGAATAGTTTGATTTGTTTATCTTTAGACCTGAGCAGGACATGTCGTTTGTTTAACTTGAGAAAAGTTTGTTTTTCAGACTGAATTCAGAGCTAATTTGTGTCTTTACAGATATTAGAATGTGAGTTCTACCTTTTGGAGTTGATGGTGAGTGGAAACTTCTCCACAGAGAGTTATCTGCTGTGTGGACGCTCACCAGGACCGCTTACTAACCGGTTTAACTTCTGTTTCAGGACTGCTGCCTGATTGTGTACCACCCCTACAGACCCCTGCTGCAGTATGTGCAGGACATGGGACAGGAGGACATGCTGCTGCCTCTTGCCTGGTATCGTAGCATGTTCCGTTTGTGAAAAGCACGTCTGATTTGATGGTTTTAGGTCTTCTCGCTCACTGTCACGTCTGTTTTTCTCAGGCGAATAGTGAATGACACTTACAGGACAGATCTGTGTCTGCTCTACCCTCCCTTCATGATTGCCCTAGGTAAGAGTGGTTCTCCGTCCTTTTTCCACCATGTTAAAAAGCAGTGATTGACTTCGAACAAGCTTTATTAAATCTGAGCTGATCATTTGTTGTTTTTTTACTCTCCAGCCTGTCTACATGTTGCCTGCGTGGTGCAGCAGAAAGATGCCAGGCAGTGGTTTGCTGAGCTCTCAGTGGACATGGATAAAGTAAGATTGATATCTCGTTCAGTGTTTTAAAATAGAAACGGAGTAAGTTAACGTTCACCTTATCTGATTTCCATATTTTAATCAGTCCCATTAGAGTTGTTAGCAGAGGAGGAGGAACGGGCTTTTATTAAATCAGCATGTTCTTGCAGCAGAGCAGCCATTACAAACAGGCTTCAAATAGACACGATGTGACATGGCATCTTCTAATTGTTGCTTTACTGCAGCTCAAAGCTCCGTTTAATATTTCTGGTCAGAATAATCACTTATTCTACACTGGCTTAATCCTGTTCAGAATCACAGGGTGCAGGTACGGACTCCATCAAGGGAGAGGAGAGGTAGACCATCTACAGGTCATCAGTTCATCATCCTCTCTGATTGGGTCTGAATACGTTGGTGATAGGACTTATAAATATTCTTAATTGGGTTTGACTGTTTTAAATGTACTCAGTGCCACTTTCAAGGCAGCAAGAATGGAACCCCCCCCCCCCTTAATTTTGTTCATCTGTTCCCAAAATTGCCAAGAGTAAGAGGAAGCTTATGGAGACGGGGCCTTCTCCGTGAGTGCTCCTAAGTTATGGAGCGCTCTGTCTTTGCCCGTTCGACAGGCCCCTTCACTGTCCATTTTTAAAACCCGTCTGAAAACTCATCTCTACTCATTGGCCTTCAGCCCAACTGAGACTTGATTTTACTTCATTTTTATTGATATTTATCTGTTTAACTCATCGTTTTATTGTTTTAAACTGAGTTGTTCACTGTGTGCTTGGCTTTTTAGCTTTGTTTTGATGCGTTATTGTTTGATGCGTTATTGTATCTTGTTTTGAACTGATGTTCAGCACTTTGTTTCAGCTGTGGCTGTGTTAAAGCGCTTTATAAGTAAAGTTGGTGGTGATGATGATGATGACGACGAAAATAAATAGGAAATTGAAATTCTCTATAGATTTGTTCCAAATTATTATTATTATTATTATTATTATTATTTTCTTGGCGTAACCACTTTGCCCACCTTGAAAGCATTTAATTAAGTTGCGAGTGCATAAAAAGCTAATGATTTAATTAAAAAAACGTCCCAAATTGATGAATCAAAATGATTATTTCAACCAAAATATAACCAGAATGTATTTCGGTTGAACAGAGTGCTTAAAAATCGACCTGCCTACGTTTTCAACAAAGCTGTTGGAGTATGTGTTGTGACTCTCAGCTACTACCACACCATGCAGCATAATGTCTATAAAACAAGAGTAACAGCTTGAATGAGACCGACTCCAAAGGTAAATCAGGTGTAATGTCATTCATCGATACATTTCTGTAAGTTTCATTAAAACTCTGTCCATTGGTTCATGAGATATTTTGCTAACATGCGCACACACATGGGCACAATTTTTATCGCCCTTTTGCCTTCAGTAGCGGGCGATAAGAACTACGTCACGTGGGAATATTCTGACATGGTAAAAGCGTTGGAATCCCACTGTTGTGTGTTAAATATCTTAATTTAATTGAATTAGACTTCTATTCAGAACAACGTCTCGTGTTTTATTTTGAAGATCTTGGAGATTATTCGTGTAATGCTGAAGCTTTACGACCAGTGGAAAAATTTTGATGACAGGAAGGAAATCGCTGCCATCCTAAACAAGATGCCAAAGCCCAAACCTCCTCCTAACAGGTGCGTCTGCTTTTATGCTCTTTAGAATAAATGCACGTTTTGACTTTCTGATCCTTACAAACTGCAATGAGGTGACAAGATGAACGGACGCGTTTGTTCTCCGCCCACAGCGAGAGTGATCAGAGCTCCAACGGGAACCAAAGCAACTCCTACAGCCAGTCTTAGCTGAACGGTCACACGAGAATCCACGATGTTATGAACTCTGGGAGGGGCTGAATGTTTTAAATCCTACACGTCACAACCTTTGCAGTGTCAGTTTAATCAGCTGATCAAGATGTCTGCTCGTCGTCGGTGGACACCCCTAACAAACTGTCACCCTCCCCTCCTCTGATGGTGGATTCTTGGATTGGAAAAGCCTGCGGCGAGCGGCCACGCCTCGACAACGTGCGGGGGCGTTGCCTGTCACGCCGACGACTCTGACTTGAATTTAAACCGAGGAACATCCGAGACAGAAAGAGCAAACGTGACGGTTCGTTAAAGACCTGCGATTAGTTATGATCCTGAAATCCTTGAACCGCCCCGAGGAGCGAGTCATTCACGCGTTGCTCCGCGGGATTGGAAGAAAACTTGATCACAAGTACTGTGTGTGTCTGTGTGTAGTGCGCGTGGGTTTTCATTCCTCAGGGATTGCTGTAGTCCTCTCTAAATGAATATGAGATTAGATTAGGAGGGTTTGATTGACTAGCCCACATGTGAGACACCTTCTGTCTAAAGAGACAGCAGCACTTAAGAAGTAAACATCCTTAAGAGGCTCCTTTTTTAAAATTTATTGTTTGAATCATGTCAACAACATACTTCCCTCCGCTTCCATCATGTGTTATAAATAGCCTCATGATTTTATTTATTTTATCTTTTGTGCTTTTGCTTTAAGTAAATTGATAAGTCTTAACTTTGTGCTGCAAAAGGGATAGTTCAAATCTTCTGGGGTGGGGTTCTGTGTAAAGGCAGTTAGCTGGTTGTTCTGGTGCAGATACCTCTGTGAACGAATAGTTGGCTAAATTGACAAGCTAGCAGCTAGTTTGAACAAAGTGGATTGCTGCCATCGTGAATCAATTTAAACAATTTCCCAAGCGGTTTGTGTGGACGCTTTTTATAAACCTTTACAGTCAGTTTAGTAAAACCTGGTTATTTTGTCAGCGATTATTTTTTTTTCTTGTCAGAAGAGCTCCAGGATTAGCCAGAAATGCTACAGCTAGCTGCTGCCGCCTCTGCTAGCAGCACTTGCCTTAGAATTCTTTGTAAATGTATTATGCATAATTATCGATGTAAAGGTTTATAAAAGTGCTGCTTTGAGCTTCATGAAATTTTGTGTCAATAGCTTGAACAACAGATTGTTCAGAGCGAGCTACGTTTACAACAGGTAAGATATTCTTGCTCCAAACCTTCCCACAGAACCCCACTTGAAAACATCTCAAGTACCACGTTAAAGTGCTCCTTTTTGTTTTATAACGGTGAAGCTTTTGTTGCAGATTTTTCCTTTGAGTACTTTTTGTTAGCTTAAATTGTAGAATTATCTTTTGTGGTTAGCCGCTTTTTTTTTTTTTTTTTTTTTTTGGTCAAATTATTTGTTTTTAATCAGCAAATACCTTTTGAGTAAATGCAAATCAGAATCACTGTCTTTTTATTGTAACTTTTCCCTATGATGGCATGTGCTCTCAGCCTTTGTTCAGTCTCCAAACGGTTGCAATATGTTTGCATTCACGTGTAGACGTCTCTGTTTTGGGCTGCAGTGCTGGGAGCAGGGAGTGAGTGGCTGTTTTCCTAACAAGGTGCTTGAAAACCTTAGAAAATAAAGGCTGCTGAAAGAGAAAGTACTTATTAACAGCACACTGCCATATTCAGGTTAAGTATATTTTAATGTATTGATTTAGTTAATTTTTCTTCCTGTGGCATTAGTGAGAAAATAACTTAAAAAGTACAGAGATCATTTTGTTTAGGGCCCTGTTTGGTGAAATAATGAGGCAGGACGGTGACTCCTTCAAGGCAAGCAGATGCTCCTTTGTTTAATTTTGTTTTGTGCAGTTTTCCATTTTTAGAGAACATTTGTTTTTGCTGTTCACATGAATAAACATAAGAGGGCTCAGTACCACCTTTATTTACTACTATGCGTTAAAGTCCCTTTCCAGTATTGTCACTTGAAGATTTGAGTTGGCTAATAAAATATGTGGTGTGCAAACAAACTTGATGTTTTATTAGTGTTCATTTAATAAATGTTTGGGTCTCAGCCTGTTTTAATTGGAACGTCAGCACAGTTACATTAGCAGTGGTAGGACCTCTAGTGGAAACTAGAGGAAACGTTTTATTTATTTAATGTTTAAACAGTTGACGAAAAGAAAATCACGAGCAAAGTTCACTAAAAACACCGAGGTTGGTGGTCAGGTCCAGAAGGAATTTGTTTGTCAACAAAGAGTATTTTTGTTCCTATTCTCCTTCACGTTTTGGTACAGTCAGTTCTCGTGACGTCACTGACTGCGTAAAGCTCAAGAAGTTAGCGGAAGTAGTAATACCACCCTCACGACGTGCTGTCAAAATAAAATTGATTTTGTAAGCGCTGAAAGTCACATTCAAAAAGATTTATTCGTTTTGTCTTTGTATTACTGCTGTAATGATAATTTGATATTCAGGATGTCACTGAGGAATAAAAATAATATTTTAAAAGTAGACCAACACAATAAAAAAGTGATATTGTTGGGAAAAAAAAGTTGTTTGTCATATGCAGGCTAACACAAGGTCGACAGTACAATGAAATGTTCAGGATGAGAAGAACTGATCTGACTTGCTAAAGAAAAAACTAAACTAAACTAAAGCATGCAATAAGGGTACAAAACAAATATCCTGACGCATGCTCATGCTCATGGTACAAAATAAAGTACCAAAAAGTCAAAAATATATTTACAAGGTCCAAAATAAAAATAGTAAACAACAACATGGTAGAATATAAAATATAATGGTACAAGCAGGATAAATTTGTATGAATAAGTATTTCACAGGTAGTAACATAAACTTAAATGCACATATATATTGCACATAACTAACAAACTACACAGGTTGTGTGACAGGTTATTGCACAGGTGAGTACCACTGAGATTAATTGAATTATGAAGGTAAGGTAAGTGACATACATGATGTGTATATATATGTGTGTGTGTGTGTGTGTGTGTGTGTGTGTGTGTGTGTGTGTGTGT